GCTACATAGGGCTTGAAAGCGCAGATACCTTCTAAATGAAATGTTTTCAGTTTTCAGTTTTCTCGAAGAGACCTGCTGTTATCTCAACACGTTCAGTGGACTATTGAACTTGACTTGTCAGTTTTCCCTTTCTTCTGGCATGCACTTGTTTAACTTACTAAGACGTATGTGTTTGTTGCTCTTTTAATTCACGATAAATGAAAGAGCCATCAACTTAGTGGGACAGGGTGTTTTCGAAGGAAGTTCACGCACACACTCGGTGCGAAGCTGGAACGTCCAATATTACGTTTTTTTTCAAGGACCGTATGTCTTGATGTCATTGCGTTTAACAGCTTTCTTATTCAAAAATACAAATGATATTTTTGCGAACATAATCTTGTACAATTGCGTAGAGCTGATGAAATGATCATTATATATTTAGTTCTGAATTCGAGAAGGTCACATTAGATTTTGCTTAGTTCGGGCAACCAGTCCTATAGGTTATATTGCGTCAAAACCTAAACGGGACCACAAAGGTGATTCACGAGAGAAAGAGAGAGAAGAAGAACAGAGACAATCAAGAGATCGCACCCAATCGAAACTCTTTTGGTCTGAGTTCTTCCTCTCTGCAAGGCCACGGATAGCCGGAGGATTTACACCAGCTCCCTCCTTTTCGCATCTTGACGGACTTTGTCCAATCAGGTTTTGGAGTGATATATTCGCAGGTTCCGGTTCGTCGGCGACATCAAATTTGGGGCAGTAGCAAGCAGTTATCCAAGGCACTTCAGGCCACGTTCTTGAGTGGCTCGAGCATGTCTAGCGATTTTATTGGAGTGCATGTTAACTGTCTTATTTGAGACGAATTCGGTTTACTTCACTTAAATTATGGCTTTCATATAACGATGGCCAAATTCTTCCAGCTTGCGCTCATCTTGAACGCATGGAGTCCAGCAGTCACCACCGTGACGGAAGCCTGAATTAATATGTCCAGTTCATAGGTATTGCCGTAGAGCTTGAGATGTTACAACGGGTTCATACTTTCGTTTGAATGCTTGCAAGAATCTTGCGAATGGAATCGATATGAACGGTTATATTGTCGTGGTTATATTAATTTGGCCCAAACTTGGTCCGAACAAACTCGACCCAAGTGTGATTAAGTTCACGGCTTCCAGGAGGGCTTTGCTTACTCAGTTGGCTGTACTAAAGTCTTCACCTTGTTGGTGTGGGTCTGAGTCCCACCAAGGCTGCAGAGTTTTACACAATTGGGTCAAAGAATTATAGAAACCCGCCAAATCCCTCCTGATAATCGAAAATGTTTGCTTTTTCGAGCTGACAGCCCACCATCGCGATGGATGTCTTCTGTTTGTCCAATATGCAGCTCAAGAACGCTGTGGCTTTGGGATATTGACGGAAAAGTAGGCTATCTGCTCAACCTCATTCACCTAGAACACTGTGTTCTACAAGTACACATAGGTCGATGCGAAGAGGGTTAATATCGTCAACGTGGCCATGATCGATCAACCGGCGTCCGGCGGACACTAACAGAGAGGCAATTTGTGCAAAAGACTAACTTAGCGACATAACGGCAGTGTTTTCGTTTGCTATCAATGTTTGAATTTAAGATTGAGACCCATCTCAAAAATACCACAACTACGTTTAAAACAATATGGTGAACGGCCGGTACCTTATTAAAATAAATTAAATTTGTTGTGAGGTTCCTCTCTTGGAAACTACTTTTAGGGAACTATTTTTTTTTCAAAACAAATAAACAAAGTACAACGGTTTTGGTGTTTAAAAAACCACTATAGTGTAGAATTTACTTACTTCTGAACAGTAGATAATCATCATAATGACGTACTATCGGTTTAATCTTTGCTAAGCTTTAAGTGACACAGAAAACTTAGACATGACAAAAAGCTCTCCCATATACACGCAAACCCTTGGTGCTGATTATACGCTCAATATGGAGTCTCATAAATCACACAAAAGGAAAATTTTCCACCAACAATAACAGCACAAAAAACAAAATGTCTGGGACATAAAGCAAACAATTTTCAGAATCTCCCGGCAGACATTTTCAAACTTCAGCCAAAACTGTGAAAAACGGCCTTTAAGGAAACGAGATATAATATAATATACCAGGTGTATGCATATAAGACAAGAGGAAACGGAGGCATACGTGGCACTATTTTGTGAACGCTGTTTGCGATCGAAATACTGCTTCCTAACCCTCTTGTAGGCCTTCGCTTTGTGCAATAACCTGGCGGATCGGTTTGATATCGAAGCCTCTAGGTTAAAAGATGGTAACGACGCGTTTATTGCTGGTAAACAAAGCAGTTTTACCAGGCTGAGCCAGACTTTCATCCACCCAGGCTATCGCCAGGTCATCCAACATGGCCTCAAGGGTACTGCAGTCTCCGGAAGGAAAGCAATTTCCGTCAGCGGTTGGCACATCCTGACCTAAAGAAGAAAGTAGGCCGTGAAGTGGTCTTAGTAAACAAACCTATGCTTTCGTCTTCATGGCTAACGCAGCCTACCTCCTCAGCCTCAGCCTCCTTTGAGCCTGATAACTGCATTTTGGCGACGCCTGTATCAAGTCCATCACTTTCACCTTAAAGAAGAGTAAAAAAAATTACGATACTTGTAACCTGGTATATAAAACTCATATGCGTACTTTTAATATTTAAAGAAGGATGCGAGCTTATAGGATCTTACGCATAAAATTCTAAGTTTCATAAGTTCGAAACCTTTGTCCTATATGCCTAAAAACTGCTTTAATTGTACGATCTAATAAAATCAAGTAGCACATGAAGAAATATATGAAAACTGCATTTGGTATATTGGACTTCATATCACGACTGAGTATTCTTTCTAAACGAAGTATAAAAACCTGGCAGGTATACGTTTATTCATCTACATAACATTTACGCGTGATTCGAAACTATCTTGACCAGCTCTCTCATTCTACCTTATCTCGATGGCTTTACGTTCCGCAGTCATTGCTTATTGTCAAACTGTGCAGAGGATACTTATTTAACAACTGAATCAATCATGTTTTAAGTACAAATTCCCAAAAGATTTGAAGTGGGTTTTGTCATTGCGTTGATATCCGTCAGTAGGGAAAAACTTGACACAACATTGTGTTTTTATGTTTTATTCAAGATGCTTTAAAGTATTTTTAACTCAACAAAGTGAACCCCTTTATATCCTAGCAGCCAATTACTTTACCATCCTTACGGCCAAATTAATACTCATCATCTAAGCGCATACTCTGATAGTGTGACATACATTTCCTCTATTGTAATATATTACCCGACAGTGATTAGTTCGGATGACCACAGGGGATATATTAACATTTTTAGCAAGTTTTAACAGACTGCTGACTGTTGGTTGTCTTTAAAATCTTTCTTTGGCATAATAATTTTCTGCATACATTTAGGAAAGACAGCATTACCACTGAGTGAATTTCCCAAGGTGCTGCCCAAACACACAATCCCGAATATATGGCTGCAATAAAGCTTCGCCCAATTCAAAAAGATTTTGTCATTAACCCTGCCAAAGAATAACCAAAGAGATTCTTAGGTATGCAAAATATGGTATTCGCAATATTTACAGACACAGAGATGGTTTGCGTCATAACAGGCCACAATATCTATGACTCGATGTTAGATTTATCAAGGACATTATGGTTGAACATGTAGAATATTGGACGTGTTCGATACGTTGAAAAAAATTTCGATGGCCTATTTTTTGCGTGAATGTTCGCAAAAACTTCGATAATGTTAAACAGGTAAATAAACAGGGAGTTTATGAAGGGTGATTATATAAGATTAAAAGAAGACTACGAAATCCATGGCTTTGGTATCTGCAGATACGTATGATTTATGTTTATGTATACTTTTATATGCATTTATATATACCTTTCAGTTTCCGTTTTCGATCATAACACTTTTGCAGGTAACCGATAACGTATTTCGTGCCGCGAAATAGTATATCCTTGGTAGGAAATTCTAATTCATTTTTTTCAAAATTCAGGCCCTTCAACTGCTTGAGAGCCCCGATTTCTACTGGCAACTTCGTCAGATTGTTTGATCCAACCAGTAAATTTGTTAAGTTAACAAGTTTACCGATGGATCTAGAGATTTCTAACAGCCGATTGTTCCGCAAATCGAGCCACGAAAGACACGGAAAGGAATCAAATAATTCTTCGGGTAAGCGACTGAGTTGGTTGCCATAAAGATTGAGCCTCTAAAATACACTTTCTTTGAGTATACATACTTTCAAATTTTTAAATGTAAAGATTTCATTTGGCAGTGTGACGAGGGAACAGTCTTCGAAGCTCAGGGTGTCTAAGTTGTACGACCTGGCCTCTTGGATAGCACTTTGCACACGCAAACTTGTCTCAGTTTCATCGGACATTTGTAATGTGCACCAATCAACGCGAAAGGGTTGTCATGGCAACCGCCTGAGGGACGACACGATAGAGGTCGTTAGTGGATCAAGTAAACATAGATTTTAATTAATCGCCCACTTCAATCTGGCCTCATTTACAAAATAAACATATCTGTTTCATTTGTGCTCTCAAACCAAGATTAATTTGAACCCAAACCTAACCAACAAATTGCTTGGATTCTACGGTCAAAATTGACTCGCAGTTTAGACGCTTATTAACGAACGACTGAGGAAACGGGCTAAGAGCATGTTTGGGTAAAAATAAAATAAAAACATCCATTAACAATTATGAACGAAACTCAGCGCTTTTTGGAATATTTTATCTTATTCTAGACAACGGTACCGCGTAAAAGACTGCAAATTTGTAGTAAACATGGTCACGGTCCATCCGAGGTGACAACGATATTTTCTACGCTCTTCCTCAGTAAACTTTACCTCAGTTTGCCGCGTCCGGGAGTGTCTGTGCGTAGTCAGTAGTCCTTCGTGAACTGGCCTTGGGAAGTGGTTGACCAGTTGACCAGACACATCCGTGACCTTGACACGTCTAGCGCGCACCCGAGCCAGACATGCGAGACATGCATGTGTTAGAGTACAAGGTCGCTACAGTAGACTGACTTGTCCGGCAGACGTCTACTCCTAGTTGGACTCTTGCAGTCCTGGTAGTCGTCTAATTGACTTTACTGCTTTTCTGGTTCCGTCAACGAGTTCGTGGCAGATATTCCTGGCTGAATGTTCTCCATCGTCGGCAGCGGGTGGTGACCGTCTTTTAGCCCGTCATTCAGTGTAGTGGAGTAGTCTGCATAAATTGTTGATTTGCCGGTAGGTTTCTCGACGGCCACAATCGGCGCAGCATGCACTGAATCATTTGTGGTGCCAATACCGTCACGTTCATTTGTGCGTTCCATTTCCTCGTGGACCACTTCTTGTACTGCAAATGGGTCGGGTCAATATTGCCAGAAGGTAGGCCGCTGATTAGGCTTCACCCTCAAACGCACGGTTGATTTGGCCCTCGTTCCCTGGAAGAACATCATCTGCTTGGTATACCTTTCCCTGAGGGTCTCCTCTCTTCCTGCTGTGGTCGTTTTTGAAGGCGCTTCTATTGCCAGTGTAGCTGATTCATCAGAAACTGTTGCTGCTGCTGCTTCTGTTGCCGCTGTCGCAACTGATTCCTCTGTACCTCTGTTGCTGTTGGTGCTTCTGCTTCTGTTACTACTGAATTTGCTGCTGCGATGGCCTCTGTTGTTGCTTTTTTGATCTCGTACTTCCACTTCGTTCTGTCATCATGGCCTATCTGCTTCCCATCTTCCTGTAGCACTGAGAGGAGAGCGATGAAATGGGCTTGTCGTGTTTCCAATATCATCCTTATCTGTCCTAAACTGATCATTTCGTGCAATCACTTATTATGATGTTGTGTCATCACCCGCGCCTGGAGTGATCAACTGCGTCGCTAATTGTTATAACCTTGCGTCTGCAGTGATCACCTGCGTCGCCAACTGTTATAAACTTGGGTTGACCAGCGTCTAGATAATGTCGGCAACCCTATCACAAGCGGTTAGACCAACCGCTTCACCATTTGAACGCCAAAACACAAAAATTGCGTGTTTCAAAGCCATTTTCATCACAATTCAACGACAAGTTATTTAAACCACCTCAACCTAGCACACCCTTAACAGTACGAGTCATATTATTCCTCCATATAATGCATTTTTGGACGCATTGGGCACCAATCACGGAATATAACATGAATAGTCTTATTAGATCTAATCTGAGTCGCAAAAAGAAGATTCAATGGTAAAGGCCACTGAGTTCGGCAGGGATTTATAGAGGGCAGCTTGGAAGGCCAACATGTATAAAAACCGCTTACTTACAAATCTTAAGTAGGGTGAACTTTCAAAAATCTTCCAAATTTTTGCGCGCCGGCCGTCAGCTCAGTGGGGTTTAGTGATTATATTGAAACTGCGTAGGGTCCTCGGAAGGTCAACATATAC